CAACATGTTTGAACATCTTATAGCTAATGTCTAATGGTTTACATGCTTTATTATTAAAAAGTTAATTAATAACTTCAAAAACTTCTATAGAGAAGAATTCCTTGAGTGCTAGTTAATACTATGTAGAATCAATATTAGGTTTAGATTAGTATTCTTGTTGCTACATTGTATTAAATAATTGTAATTAGATGTTTCAAGAGGCTGTCCAATTATCTAAATGTTGTTGAATATGCTAATTGTTAAGTGATGGTTTGGTGAAACATTATTAGGTTTTTTAATATTGTTAAACTTAATAGTATCTTTGTGTCAATTAAGTATATTATTAATCATTGATGTTGAACTATTTTGGAGTTTAGTGCACCTTTTAACTATGTTAACATTAATTTGTTCTCTTATATTTTTAATATTTTCTAAGTTTCTGGCATGATAAAGTGTTTTCTATTCAGTGTTAGTTGCAGATATCTAGTTAGAAAAAGGTTAGAATCCTGAAACAGTTCTAATATATTGAGATAGTAAAAAAAGTTAAGTTAGTAAATATCTAGATTGTGAAGTACAGATACAGAAGTATAGTTTCAAATTGAAGCTTTGACTTGTCTAATAATATTGCCTATTTTTTTAAGTTCTGAGTGTAATTTCAATGCCTTAGAAGAAAAGATGTGTTGAAAATTACAAACAGTAAATTTTTTATTTGGAATATGTTAAAAAGCAGCTGAGATATTACTAGTTTAAATTTTGTACCAAGATGCTTTAAGTGATTCTGTAGTATTAGTTGTAAAAGAGGCATTGTTGTTTTTAAGATTGAATGTAACTTGATCAAAGAAATTTTGCCAGAGGTTTTGGTTCATTTGTTTATAGACAAATATTCTATACTTAGTTTTGGTTGCTGATCATTATTTACTAGTAATTGCATAGAAAAATTCTTAGAATGATATAAGTATATTATGATCACTAAGTATATTTTGGTTGGCATTATCTGTGTAATAAGAAGTTAGATATTAGATAATAGAATAATTGGCTTAAATTTAGTCAATTTGACTGCTATATCTGTTACTATACCAAGTAGAAGACAAAAATTGTGTATGTTTTGCTAAGTCATACATATTGTTGTGTTGAAAAAAATGAATTAGTTTGAGTTTGATAGATGATGATTGTAAGTTGTTAGAAACATTAAAGTTATTTATAACAATTGGTTGTATATTATTTGTGTTTGCTTCTTGAATCTATTATATAATGTTGTTCTGGATAAGAAGTTTAAGATCATCACAAGATAAATAAACTAATATAATGCAAAATTTAAAGTCATATTTGAAAAAAAAGTTAATTGCAATAGCATATCTAGAAAGGTTAAGTGTTTTGTGAACATATAGTTTAAAATGCTTTTGGATTATGATAGTTGTTTCAGCTTTACAACTATTAGTACATGACCAATAGTAGATAAAGTATTAAGATCTTGAAAATTTATTATATGCATTGTTTTGTAAGATTTTGGTTTCTGTAATGCTAGTAATATTAATATTATGAAATAGACAGTAGTCCTCTTATATTTATTGTTTTAAGTTATTATTATATTCTTATGTATTATGTGTATATATTAATAAGTTAAATGATTTATATAAGATAGGTATAGGTATATCAGCTGTTAGTACTTGAGAGGCAGATTGAGTATAATTATTGAAGTAGAAGTTAGAAGATGTGGCTATATGATTAGAATTGAAGATAGATAATAGATTAGTAGGTAAAAGTGCTAAATATGAGTCATCAAGAAACAGTTAGTCAAGTGAAGGTAGGTAAGTATAGAATGAAGTGCTATTTGGTATTGTTAGCAAAGGTAAATGTTTATAAAGTTTATATTGAAAAGATTAAATAAGATGGTATTCATAAAGAGTAGGATCTGAGAGGTTAGTATATATATGTAGTTCAGTTTTGTTTTGATTAATAGATATTTTAAAACTATGCTTGAAAAAATGTTTTTGAAGATAAAATAGGAATTCTTCAAATATTATATAGTGGTGTATAGTAGGTAGATTATATAATAATAGAAATTTGTTATAGCATATGTTTGTTTCTGCAGAAGGTAAAATGTTAAAAACAGGAACTTGGGATGTTGAGTTGTCTTCTACATAGTTGTTCATCATTTGAAGCTTGGCTTGCACAGCTGTGAAGGTTGCCATAGTCTGCTCTGTACATTGGATCTGACTGTTATTAACTTGGTCCTTCATGTAAATAGGCTTTACTACCTGCCTACTTATATTATCTTCTTTGTCAACTACTAGGGATGTATCTTTTAACAAAGTAGTAGCTGATTTATAAATTTTATATAATAATTGCTATATATAATTATATATAAATTTTATTTAATTCTATATAAGTTCTATAAAAATTTACTATTTATAAAAATTATATAAATTTTATTTAAATTTTATAAGTATAAATTTAATATAACTATAAATTTTTATTTAATTAAAAATAAAAGTATTTATATAATATGAATTTATTATATCAAATTAAGATATAATATAGACAAAATTATTGATTAATTTTACAGAAATTATATTGTAAGTATTAGTTAATTTTAAATAAGAACATCTGTATTTATAAAACTTCAAAGATGTATTTAAAAATTTAAAGTCATACCAGTGAATAAGTGCAAAGTCAAATGCTATATTCTTTAACAATATGTGAACTAGTAATAAAACCTAAAAAATTATATTAGAAATTTTGAACTGTATCAATAAAAAGCAAGCAAATTTTTTATAATCATCTATATTCTATTAAAAACAACTCGGCTAATTAAAATATTACCTTTGCAAAGCAGTATCTATCAACTGTTTTAAGATTTTCTTGCTTAGCATATATATAGACAACAATATTGCTGAATATTGATGCATTGTAGTAATTTTTTGTAACTCTTACTTGTTTTTTGTTTAGTAATATAAAAGATTTATATATAATTAAATTTATTTCAGATTCTTCTATAGTTTTTTCAAATATTAAATTAAAGTAGTTATTCATTATAGAAATAAGATAATGCAAGCCTTCAAAAATTTTAGTTATATTTTCTTGATCATGTTCATACAATTCAATAAGTAACTTTAAAAGATAAAGTAGTATAGTACAAGATTTTTTCCTAAATTTTTTTGTATGATTGATAATTTTAGATTAGTTATTTTGTAATATAATGCATTTATAAATGTTTTTAATAGTAAGTGTTCATATTATCTATTATATATAATTAATTAGTATAGACTAAAAATACAGTATATAATATATAAAAAATAATTTTAAAAAAAAACCTTTGTAAAATTTGGTTATTAATATCATATTTGTTAGACATTCTATAAGGTGCTTTAATGTATTATTTGTGAAGTGCTTTGTATGTTTTAGCACTTAATCTATTCAAGTTCCTATATTCTTTAATTATTTCAATAGTATAATGAACTCAGTAGTAAAATTTTAAAAACTAATATTCATTTTTTGTAAATGAACTAAGAAATCAATAAAATTTTTTGCCCACATTTTAATTAAAGTCTAAAAAAAAATATATATATATAAACTAGCAACATTATCTAAGCTCTTAAATAATTTGATAATAATTTAATTTATAAGTTTTAATCTATATACTAACTATTATCAAATTATTTGAGTAGTTTGAATAATATTGCTAGTACAAATTTAATTAGCATAATAAAAAAATATTTTTAAATGTATATTAGGCCAAACCAAGCTAATTATTTGTTTAATATAACCCCCCCTTTACTTTTGTAAATCTAAAAAAAATATTATATATTATAGATAACTAATAGAAATATACTATTTTTTTATATCTAATATAATAGTTCAATTATATAGTATATAAATTTAATATTTGTATTATTTAAATTTACAAGAAATACTAAATATAATCTGTTCTAGAGATATTAATATTCAGATTTTAGTTCTATACAATTACAATTTCAGGATTTACCAGTAATCTTTTATATAAGTAATAATAAATAATATTAATATGTTCACATTTATAATTCAAGGCATATTGTGTAGCAGTTAAATATATATTGGGACAAAAAAGTGATTTCTCAACATATTAACAGAAAAAAACAGATTATATCACCCATGTACTAGTTCTAGTATACAAAATTATACAGTAATATAATTTGCTTATTTTTTCTTACAATATTATTTTGAGTTTAAAAAATTATAACTAATGAAATTTATTAAACAAATGAAAATTTTTTAACTAGAAATGTATCTCGCACGAGATAACAAAACTATCGAGCTTGTGATTTCATGTGACTTGTGTAAGATGATCTCACATGAGATAAACTATTCAATTAAGAAATTTTAATAAAATTTCTAGCATATAATCCAAAATAAATTGACTTGCATAACAAAATCTTGTGCTGTAATATATGAAATGTATGCTAGATTTATCATGAAAAGGTATATATTATCTCTAACTACTTAAAATTATATTGGAACTTTGTCTTAATTAAAGAAATTCCAATATTTTAAAATAAAATTTTGTGCTCTGGTAAGTTTTTTATCATTCATACAAATTATTATTATTATTGTGCAATCAGAAACTTTATTGCTATAACAAAGAAAATTCCTATAAGAAATAGATTTGCTCTCACAAGACTTCTAATTATGTCAAATATTATCAAACACAATACAACAAACTCTTAAACCTTTGAACCCTAGTTCGAATGGTTAAATGACCTAATTGATGGTTATCTAACAAGACATTATATCTTAACTATTTCAAATCATAACTACTACTTTCATCTCATTACATAATTAATTATTCTTCTATTCTGCTTCGTAACTTTTACAGAAAGGGACTTCACAGTTTACAGTGATTGTGGTGAATCAAATTCATATGAGTGATGGTCTGTAAAAACTTGTAAATAGATTTACTAACCAGAAATGACTCCTGATAAAATATGATAAATATGATCGAATCTGATTATTCAGTAATACATTTATTACATATGTTATTATTTTTAACTTAGCAATTGTTTGATAGAAGCGGTTTGCAAAATAAGATGTATAATAGAAGTGACTAAAATGGCTAAAATTAGAATTGTGTATTATTATATTTAATTTATTTTTACAGTCAGATTTATCAGAGGTTGTTTCTTGATAATGAATCGATTTACAGGTTTTTACTGACCGTCACTCATATTATTAATTAGGGTACACCTAGTTTTATCAGATCCTTGCATTGTTATTGCAGCCTTGGAGCCAATCTAATCAAATAACAGTGTTCTTAGACCTTATAGCTACTGGGTCACTTAACTCCAGGTGAGTAGAAAGGCTGATAGAGTGATAGCAAACAGAAAAATAACCTGACTTCTATCCAAAGTATAACTCTTAAATAATCCTTAAACAATCCTTAAACAACTAAGCACTTCTTCCTCTTCCATTTACTATTCGCATGCAAATCACACTCATTTTCCTGATTATATTCTAAAAAAAAGCACAATTAAGACAATTACAGATTACATATTGATATAATTAGTTTAGCTCTTTATAGTTATATGCATAATGGTCACTAGTTTTCTTGTTGAATACAGATATTGTAGAGTAAATCTACAATTGCAATAAAGTTTCATGATCTCGCAATAATGAACAAGCTCACCAATAGCTTATAAATTATAAATCAGTTTAAAGAAAAGCAATAATCATATATCTAGTTCAAAAATAGCAAATTCGCATCTTAGCAAAAACAATGCACCAACAATTTTGCACTATTTAAAGCCATTAGTTCTTGGTCTTCGAGATTATACTAAATTTAGAAGGTCAGTAAGTGTGAATTTAAGAAGTTAATAGTGATATTGCTTAAGATTAGAGTGTGACTATGAATTTAAAATATAGAGAAGAAACATCATACAACTCATGCAGAACAATAAGGTAAAAAAGAATATTGTAGTTAATATTTTAATGAAGAGAAATTGTAAATGAGAACTTACTAATAGCACATGATAGAATAATTGTTGAATGGTAGAAATTGCATGTTTTATTTCTAGATTAGACTAGCATTAGTGATTCAAAGTGTTTATCATATGCAAAAGAAGGAATTAATGAAGAAAAACATTAAGCCTTATTATATTACAATTTAATAAACTAAATCTGTAACAAATTGCTTTATATTAGATAACATAAATATATATTTTATAAGCTGTTCCTTGGTTCTGAACTATTTCCTTTGCATATGAAAATATTAAAAAAAATTTCACATCTTTACAAATTAATAATAAACTTATAAAGGCTTACCTGCAAGTGAATAAATTACTGGTTCTTATATTTGTAACAGTTCACAGACTATTACATAATAATACAGCAAGAATCTATAATAGATTTTCTTTAAAACATGCTTTATCTTTTGGTTCAAGTTATCAAAAATATTAAATGTATTATTCCAGAATATGTAGTAAGTATAGAATCTACAGATAAAAAGTTTTCTGTTCTTTTTGATACAATAACATTGGAACAATATGATGATAAAGAGGTATGAGTTTTTGTTAGACAAGGAAAATTTGAAGGCTGGCGAGAAGTCAACAATGAACTAGAAGGCGATTTAAAAATGTTAGAAGTATTTAAATTTTTACAAGTTAAATTTTGTCTGGTCTCTGAGTCAAATTTAGATGTGTTAAATACATCAGTTGCAACACAGGATAGACTAAATAATAGTCCAAATGCTTTTAGTATTTTAATGAAAAATGCAAGTAAACCTTTACTTCCCTAATACCATATTGAATATAATAATTGTGATTGACTTTACAATGAAATTATTAAATTTTTTCAAGATCAAAAAGTTGGTTGAACAGGTGGTTTACATGATACGATCGGCAGAGAATTTATAAATTGTCTTACAAATGCTCTTTGGTATATCGATCCACATTTTTTGACATTAAGTGCACGTTCGTATTATCTGCCAGTCCTTTTTATGCAACTAGAAACTTATAAGAATGGTGAAAAATATAACAAATTTTACAATACTAATCATCATAAAAAGAACCAATTATCACAAAAAAAACTTGCTGATCTTTCAAATTCCCTTGCATTATCTATTAGTCAACTATGGGCAAGCAATGATATATGAAATCAAGTAATGCCTGCAATTTTTTCTTTGATTGAAATTTTAAGAAAATATTCAGAATATCTTATTATGATTAATTCTAGTATGAATGAGCTTCATAATAGTAACGAAAGTGCTCATAATCCTGAAAATAGTACTACTATGTATCAGGTTGGTGCCTATAGAGATGATGATCTTAATGAAATTTATATTGAACTAAATAAAGCTCTAGTTGAAAAACCAGTTTATGAATATATTAATATTCAGCCATATCTTTCTATTGATGTTATGAAATGATATCTATTTATAAAAGAATTGCAGCTTGAATTTCCAATAGGGGTATATAGATATTATCAAGGTAATTATTTAGGAACTATTAATTATATATGGAAAATCTCTAAAATGGAAATATTTAATGATGCACAAAACGAAACTTTGAAAGCATGTATGCTAGCTAGAATTTATGAGGAATTGCCTCATTATTTTATACAACAAATATGAAAAAATATATTAAATAAATATTCTTATATTAAGAAAGTTTCATCAGCTGTGTTATGAATGCTTTATTTTGATCTCATCAGTGATGCTGCCATATCTTCAAATGCCATTTTACGTAATGTAGAAGAAAGACTGTGGTTAATGCTAACTTTAGCAGATCCTAATATTATATTTAATCTGCAAACAAATAATAAATTTAACAGAACAAAGTTTAATGCATTCTGGAATGAATTAGAAGCCTATTTCAATGAGCAGAACTTACTTGCAGTAGAAGAATGCTGTCATGGGTCTGTTTTATATATGCCATTGGCTATATCTGTTCGTAATCTTCATGAAATTATAGTAGAAAGGCTAAAAGCTAAACATAATAATTTCTTTCCTTCTGCTATCTATATTCCATCAAATGAGTGGATTCATCTTCAGTTTTGTCTTACAAATGCTATTACAACCCAATCAATACATTATACTGGTCGATTTAATGTAAAGTTTAAAGTGCAAAGTTGATTGCTTTGAAAAAATTCTGATGATGAACATTATTGTGCAGCACTTTTCCCATATCTTAGAAAATTTTGCATTAAGTACTGCCAATGGACTTGTTTGATATCTGCAGATGATAAACACAAAGTTCCTATTGGAGAAGATGTTGCAGTCTCTACAGATATATGAAATAGGCATTCCATAGTTACTCAAGACAGTGTTTTAGCTGCTGCTGACCATGATTTTACTAAACTTTTACTAACACCATCTGTTATATTTTTTATATCAATTCCTGATGATATTTCAGGATCATTTTATAATGATCAAGTGTTTGTATCTTATAAAGATACAGTTTTTGAACCAAGCAGTGCAATTTGACATTTAGCTGAATTTTTTAATGCACTTAAAATTTAATATAAACAACAATGCCACCAATTTTGTGTCTTTATACTGATGGTGGCCCAGACCATTGGTGTAATTATGGATCAGTACAGATTGCATTAATCTGTCTTTTTTTTTGTAGAGATTTTGATCTGCTTACTGCAGTTCGTATAGCCCCCAATTATAGCTAAACTAACCCAGCTAAATGAATTATAAGTACTTTAAATTTGGGTCTTCAGGACGTAGTACTCAAACACGATCAAATAAGCTCAGAATCTGAAACATTATTTTATATAGCAAATACTTTAGATGAGATATACAAAAAGGTTCAAAAATTCAATAAGTTAGAGTTTGAGTTAAAAAGGAGTATAGGAAGTATTTGAGATATGCTAAATAAACAAACAGAATAACTTTTATTAAAAAATAAAAAATTTAAGTATCACAATTTAGCAAGTGAAAAAAAGATTACTGAATTATTTGAGGTAAAGCATATTTGAATTTTTATTTTTTATTATCGCTACATCATTTTACTGCAGTTGTATGTAAATTGTTTAATAAAAAAAATCGAAATCGAGTTAATTATATTTACTCTTGCTTTGTGAGCAGTCAATTTTTGATATCGATTCAACTTTGAGAATAGAAGAAACTACTCAAACACAAATATGTCAACATTCTACATTAATTGAATTTATGAAAACTCATTGTTATATGCATGCTTACAGTTTTCAAGTATGCAGTACAATCTAATTTTATTAGTTTAAACATATTACATATTATTTTAAATATAATATAATATATATAGATAAAAAAATGCAATAATATTCTCTGTATATATTGCAAACCAATTCGTCTTTCATTATTTGAATTTCATAATTTGAGTTTTCTTCCAGATCCAATTTCTTCACAAGGTGATTTCTTATTTAATATATTTGATATTAATTAAATATTAAATAGCTTTTTCAAAAAATTAGACAATGCAGATTATTATGCATTTTTTTAAAATGTATACAGAACTACAACTACTGAAGAATATAGACCAACTTATATACTATTTCATGTGAATACAAAACCTATTTCAAAGTCTATCTTGATTGTAGTATTATAGGTGAAAGCCTTCTTAATTTTCACACTATAACGATGACACGACACAGAGAATCCCTTATAGGTATATGCGGTGTCCAAGAGGGAAGTATAGCTTCTGTTAGATGTTGTCAAGAAACTATACCCTTCTCTGAGACAGTTCGGGGAAGGTAATGCAATACTTGTAACTTTACTTTATTTCACTAAGAGGAGATAAACCTTGCCTGTAGGAATTACCCTAGAG